AAAAGAGGCTCTTATTTTATATTCTAGCTTGTCAATAGCAGTGATTTGAAATCCTAATTCTTATGAAACTATAGACTTAGTATTTTGATATCATAAACATCTAATTTGAACCAGTGGTGCATTCAACATACCACGTGACACACAAAAATTGGTGTTTGTCTGTTTTTTTAATATTTACTTTTAACTTAAGAAATTGAGTAATATATAGTACTAAAATTTGAAATATAATCTACAGTTTGATACCAAACTTATTGACATAAATTAATGAAATGGTAGTTCGATAAAATTTTGAATGCGAGTCAACAAAAGGGTCTTTCACCCAGGACCCATCTGGAAAGGGTTAATGCCTTCATATTCTCAGATATATACTGGTTTTGTACTAGGATTTGTGAGTACACATTTTTTATGTTTTCTTTTTTCTGGCAACAACACTTAACATCTTTTTCATTTTGAGCTATTTCTTCCCTTAGGTGTCTAATTCTCATCTAGAATTTTTTAAAGTTAATCCAATTGTTCACAGGGTCATCTTATTTTAGGTACTTTGTCTTGTTTTTCTGACTTATCTCTCAATCTTGCTTTACTCAAGACATCTACTTTTGCTTCTGTTTCGGAAATGTTGAGTTAGTTTGTTTTCCAACTATTAGGCTTACGTAAGGACACTAAACCATCACCAGTTGACTTCTGAAGGGAGTTGCTTAAAGTTCATTCTTGTCATTTCCATGCATTTCCTTTTTTTTCCACTAAACCATCACCAGTTGACTTCTGAAGGGAGTTGCTTAAAGTTCATTCTTGTCATTTCCATGCATTTCCTTTTTTTCCACTAAACCATCACCAGTTGACTTCTGAAGGGAGTTGCTGAAAGTTCATTCTTGTCATTTCCATGCATTTCCCTTTTTTTCATAAATTATAATTCTTTGCCAAGGCCAAGAGATTTATGATTTTAGGAAAACATATAGGTTCAAATAATCAGTTAAATAAAAAAAACAAAAAACTATAACCTAAGCACTTTCAAAAGGTGGACCTGTCTTAATCAGGGGCAAACTGATGAAGAAATGTCCACCATTTGAAAGTACTCTGGTTATGAGGACAGGAAATTGATGTACAGCTACAAGTAGGTTTGAGATATTACAAGGAGTTTTACCCAGTACCTGTAAAATGTTAACTTACAGAGTGAATGCATATAGAGAAGAAAGAAAAAAAAATTGTTGACTTATTAATTTGACTTGTGTTGTTGGCGAGGTTTTAGAATCTAAATTCAAAAATAATCTAGAAAGGTGAGATTTAACAAATGATTTATAAAAGTTTTTCTCTCTCATCAAGGTATTAGTTTTTGTTTGACCTTTTGGTTTTTTTAGGGTGAAGTAAATCTAGTAATTTTGCAGTATCTTAACATTCAGAAAACTTCTGTTAAAGTGCCACACAGAATTAATGATGAGGATTCTTGTAGAATTGGAGAGAGTATTGAAAAAATAGGAAATTGTGTTGGACATAAAAAATCAGAAGTTATCTGTCAAACATGAATAATAAACGATAATTTTTTTCCTGGAAAAATGTGATTTAGTAACGTAGTTCTTTAGATGTTTTAGTTTTGGGATCTTCGTTCATTATGAATGTCAATGATTTGTTTATTTTTTTATATAAATATTTCATATTTACTGTTGATGTTAAGATGCTAGTATAAGCTGATTTTGTTAAGAAATCTTAATGCCAAAAAGGACTTGTACGGTTTTAGTGTATGGTCAGAACTGTGGTAGATGTTTCAGAATGAGAAAGTGATTTATTTGGGGGTAAGAAGACTTGATTCATATTTGATACGAACATTGCTGATTTGATGAAAGAAAACATGAATAAGAAAGAATTGTCCAAAACCTTCACGTGGTGTCTTATGTGATGAAAAGAGTTATTGTATTTTGAGACCTCTTTATGGAAATTTCAAATTGAAGATTAAGAAGGTTAATGTAACCATGTACAAGACTAGGGTAAGGACTTGGTTGAGTAATATATTTAATCTGATTTATTGTAGAAAGAATATTAACCAGCTTCAATCTGCAGAGCTGGCATTCATGAATGGTTTCTAAAAATGTGAAAATACGAAGAGAGACTTGGTAATAATAATAATGCCACCCACTGCTGAGAGATGACAGAGGGTGGTGTTCATGAAATTAAGCTCTATTTTGATTGCGATTGTTCACTGAAATTATAAAATAAATAATTTTGTCCCAAGAACTTGTGCATTAGAGCTAATAAATTTTGTTATTTCATTTGAAAAGGCTGAAAAATTGGTTTTGAAAGATTTTCCAAGAAAAATACTTGAAATAGAAGATATTCTACAGGTGAGAATGTGTTTTTATACTTAAACATTT